CTCTCTCTCTCTCTCTCTCGCGCTCTCCCTCCCTCCCCTTCGACTCGCCAACCGTCGGATAATTGGATCGTCGGCCACTTGGCATAGTTACGGGAAGCGCGGAAGTGCCTCGTCGGGAGCCAGTCGAGTGGAGGAGTGGAAGGAAGGCCATCGGCCTTCGCCTTCCGACCTCAAGCTGAACTTGCCCGTGCTGAATGGGCGTGGACGGCTTGCCACGACGTGTATGTCCGTCCTTATTAGCGAGAAGCCTCGTTCGCTTGCGTAATCCGAATTGCAAAATCGAATGACGAAGAGCTCGCAGATCGAGCGTTTTGAGTCCTTAATTCTTGCATCTATTGCAGTAGTGTGAATTAATATTTAAATGAAGTAACGATTGCCGTAATCGAGGCTTTATGCCATTTCTTCATCCGCGCGAATAGATTGATTATTTGGTAAATATCTAGCGTGGCCTCGATTCTCATCGACGTGAACGTGCTGCTGCGCTCGTGCAGCCATGGACGGCTGCGTTACCAACATGTCCATTGGAAATATCGTATTCCCTTACGAGGGATACATTTTAAGACGTTTCTTCTTGCTGCTAAACGCGCAGTGATTGTAAGGGGATAAGCGATTCTTAAACGTAATTGGAGTGAGTGCTTTCGGCAAAATATGAAAACGATACGTAGAGAAGAATAGTTGATACGTTGAGGAAGCTCGGCTCTTAACGTTAAAGTTTCCTAGAGGCATAATCTATTTGAAATTTATATGTACGATAGTCGAGATACTTTATTCAGATATAGAGATAATAATTTTGCAAATTTTAGTTCAAAATATCGGCCCCTGGGAGTTGTGGCAAAAAAAAAAGCAAAAAAACAAAAAACAGAAAAAAATCATTGACAATGTGTATATTAAGCAATATTGTTCTACTACGTTTGCCTAGTATATTTAATACTATTTGTACGGGGGCTATTGAAATTGTTCTAATGAAAGAGAAAAAAATAGAGAGAGAGAGAGAGAGAGAGAGAGAGAGAGAGAGAGAGAGATAAAGAAGAAGCTAATGATGTGTAGAAGAAGAAGAAGAAGAAGTAAAAATACCAAGAGAGTCGAGCATTAATTTTATATTCAAAGCTATTATTTTTTTTAATTGCACGATAAACTTAACTCTCATTCCTTGGTACGTAAATTTTTCATAAACATTTAAATACTGATGATAAACATTTAAAATACTGCCGTCTAATTAAGGCTATTAAAACTGCTGCTGTAATTTCCTTGCTGAACGTACGATTGTGATGCTCAACTGTATTGTATACAGGTAGTACAACTTTTGCACGACATGTGTTTTACCTTCAAAACGGTAGTTTAATTAAAGTTAAACTATAAAATTGTCCTTCTGCGATAAATCCATTTCAAAGCGCAGTCGCTATCCTTTAAAAGCCGCGTTATACACACACGCACGCACGCACGCACGCACGCACGCACGCACGCACGCATGCACAATGATATTAAACGAACGTTGTTGAATTAATAATATGTATGATTTAAGAGTTTTATAACTACGAAATTGCATGATGACTAATTTATTACCATTACTGTATAAAAATATGAGAAAATAATTGATCATTAAAGTGTGACTTCACGCTTGAAACCGCAAGTGTTGATACTTATAAACCAATACAAACAAACCAGCGTGGTATCTTTTTTATGGTTTTATTAATTAATATGAAATATTATTGCAAATTGTCGCCTCTCGAATGAAATATGACGTACGTATAGGAAATATAGGTATTGATATAATTTATTTAAAGATTCATATACTTAAATACTTAAAAGCACTATAAACTCACAGGTTAACCGCCTATAATTAAGTGCCATAATAACAACATTGTTTTCCGAAGGCACTTGCTTGCATAAAATTCGCCGTAACAAAGTATTTTAATTGCGCACTTTACGAGCATTGTAAAAGGCGATATTGGCTCTAAATCTCACCTGATACGTATTCTCCATTAAAAAAAAGTCATGGCTATTATATATGTTAAAGTTTCGGCATTACGATGTAAGAAAAGCCATGACGCGCATGCACTCATAATCTTACATAACCCAAAAAAAGGAAAAAATCTGAGCATTCGAAGACTAGGACAACGACGACAATGACGACGAACTCATAAAACCCGCGTGTAGGCCGTTTCCTATAAAAAATGAGAAAACGAAACGAATAGTAGCCTCCCTCCCTCCCCCCACCTCTTCCTTATCATTCCTCTTTTGAAAATTGTGTCGAGTCTCAAGGCGCGCCTCCTTCCATAAATGAGCGCTTAGGACTTTTTCCCGGTTGGAAAAACTGGAGCTACGAGGATGTGAATGGCGCACCGTTAACTATGTTTATGATATATGAAAATTGTCCGCTAGCGCCAAGAAAAACGCGGCGCCTCACCATTCCTCGACCCTATAATAATTATGTGACGAAGGCGCTAATGCTCTATCTCCGGTTCACACCTCCACAATCTCCTCCCCCCCCCCTCCCCCGTCCTTCTATCCACGCCCCTTTACGAAAAGTGTAATTATACCGGTCTTTTGCGTGCCTGGCATCTTTTTCTTCCCTCTCGTCGTTTACTTTTTGCCTGCGCTAGCACTAACCTTCTCGTCGTCTTACGCTTGTACGTCAATACGATTAGGTGGTATTACGTAATTCAAGTGCTTCGAACAAAATCACAATTGTAAATTACGTAATTATCTTTCCTGGCCTTTATTTATGTTCGTATTTCAGCCTTTTTTGCTGCTCTTAATTACAATACCTTTTTCATCGGCTCTGAAAGTTTAATGGACTTGACACTAGTCCATCCGATGTCTTAATTAAATTGATTGATCGAGTGCCCCATCAAATAATTTTGCAATAATTCTAGAAAATAATGTAACGTTTTCACATTATGATCCATTATTTTTCAAAACCTCATTTTTTTTTTTAATTTTTTACAAAAACTCAATAGCTTACCAAACGTCATTAGCCTTACATTTGATGGATACAGTGGTAAGTTTCGTTTCTTTTGATAATAATTCAGTGCGCGTCGTATGAGTAGGCTTCAAACGATTATTACCGTTGCACATTATAATTTTTTTTTTCACATAATACTTAATGTCGCTCGCCCACGAAATCAGCACTCGTATCAACAATTTCGATTATGTAGCAAAATTTGAATATACTTATCAAGTTTCATGATCTAATAATTATTCATGATCGAGCTCTTCTCGTACCTCCACAACAAACTCTCTGAGCCCATAAAGATCCTATATCTTTTATACGAACTGATGTTGCTTGGTGGTTGTGGTTGATGGTATGGCACTCGGCGTTTATTATTGACTTTTTTTCTTTTTTTTTTTTTTTGAACGCAATTGCCCGGGTGCCATTTCGAGCCTAGCAACGCCGACAAAACAAATCTCGACCTTGGAGATAGGAGGAAAAAAGACAGAAACGCAAACGATATTTACTCCCGGCATCCCGGAAACAACGGCTTCCCACAATCTTGGCGATCTCAATTTCAATCGTATTTTATTTCCGTGTTTCGCTCCCGAAGAGACGAGACGAGAGAAGGGACGAGACCAAGTCGTCGGAGCC